AATATTATGACTTCATTCTCATAATATTATGACAATAATCTCATAACATTACGACTTTAATCTCGTAATAATAACAAAACAAAACAAAAAAAAAACTCGTAATGTGGCCCTAATACTCCATCGGACTTGTACCTTTCAGATGTTCAAAGCAAAAAAAAAATAATTTCTGATGGTAGTTTTGATGTCCTTTTCAGATCCGTATGTGAAGATCCAGCTGCTGCAGGGGGGGAAGCGTCTGAAGAAAAAGAAGACAACTGTGAAGAAGAACACGCTCAACCCTTATTACAACGAATCCTTCAGCTTTGAAATCCCACTGGAACAGATGCAGGTACATCATGTTTTATATTCTTTCTAAACACATTTTCACTCATATTTTAATAAGCTGCGTGAAACATATGTCAAAAAGTCATGCTTTATACAGTGTTCAAAATAATGCATTTTTTTGTTGTTATTGTTTGTTTTGTTTTGTTTTAAGAGGCCAGTTCTCCAAAATTAAGAAACCCAAATGTATAACACAAATCTTCCATCCTCCCCAGAAAATCTTGGTGGTCGTCACAGTGTTTGATTACGACAAGATCGGTAAGAACGACGCCATCGGGAAGATCTTTGTCGGCAGCAAGGCCACCGGCTTGGGTCTAAAGCACTGGTCAGACATGCTGGCTAATCCCCGYCGCCCCATCGCCCAGTGGCACGTCCTGCAGCCGGAGGAGGATATTGACGGTCAGCTCGCAGCCTTGAATGCAAAGAAATAACGAGCTTTTTACCCACCAGCTATTGCTTCTGCCCTGAAAACRAATCCCACCCTCGATCCCGTTTTGCATGAATCCCATGACAACAAATGACTCATGAACCCTGCTCTGCAGAAAAAAAACACGTTAGAATATCTTCTCACTCAAACGGAATCAAAGGAAACTCTTTTAAGCATCAGTGTATTCTGTAAAGAGGGCTGTAGTATTTTGTGAACTGATAAATTTCTATTTTTTTTTTTTTTGGGGTTTTTAAATTCGAGAAAACTGATTTACAGGGTGCTTAAACCGAAAGAAATTCTTAGTGAAGACAGTACAAAATAAAGAGCTTTAGTTTAGTTTATAGAGCATGCTTTGCTGAACTCCTCACTGCTCTTTGCACACCTCACCCCAGTATTATAGCTTGCTGTAAGTGTGCTATAACCTGCAATACAACGTGCTGAGCAATGCGTTGGTTTACATCTATAACACGTAGCAGCTTTACCTTAAAAAGCGAATCAGATTTAAGTCGCTAAATGTAGCAGTTATTGTTGCAAACGTTTGTTTCCTCAGCAGTTTAGCGGGGCTGATCTCTGTTGTCTTGTCTCACCACCAAGGCCTGTCTATGTTCATTACACGTCTTCTGTCAGATTTAATGTAGGGTTGGAATAAAAGGGTGCCTTTTGGAAATGACGCTGAAATGTTTGCTTGGTTTCACTGTTCAGTCCAGAAACTGTTGGGGGAAACTGTAACTGTGCCATTACAGTGATGTTACATCAGTTCAATTCTAGACTTTTTTTCCTTTTTTGTCTGTTGTAGCTTGAAGGCTGTTTTAAGTTGTCTAACTGCAAAACATGTTGCTTTTATTCCAGCTGATTTCAGTTTGTATCGCTTACATCGAGGTTAACCTCGTTTTAAAAAAAATATCAAAATTCAATAGAACGTCATTGTATCAGAGGTTTTGTGATGAGCTGGAATCTTCCCTAACAAAATGAATAAATGAATGGAAGAAAGACACACCCGTTCAATTATTTCCAGGCAAAAGCACTCGGTACACCACAATCATTACTGCAGTTTCTTTACGGCAAAGGTTCTGAGCAAAGTTGCTCTTTACTGAAATTTATTGAAACAAACAAAAGAAAACAATCAGAATATTTAGATGTTATGGTTATGTTTGTTACCAATGAAGAATTCCATTTTATTGATAAAAAGCTTCAATCACGTGGCTTCTTTTGCCTCAAGTGGGCATTTGACCAAATCTATGATAAAAGAAAATCTAAATTATTTTGTGATACATCCAAGATTGTGTCCATCATTAAGGCAGGATTCACACATCTGTGATTCACTTTCATTAGAGCTGATTGATTGTAATAACTTTCTGTAAATTGAGTTTTTAAAATTTGAGCTTTCCCACCACGTGAGGTATCTGAGTGAAGCCAAACAGCAGCATGTAGACATTCTCATCCACAGTATTTTATTCTGTCGTTCAACTTAACGCATTGCACCGACTTGTTAATAAGCTACAGCATGTAATTATAAGATGATGTAAATAGCCGCATGTTTGAAAGAGGAAATATTATGTTGTGTGTGTGTGTGTGTGTTTGTGTTTTGTGTCGTTTCTTTTTTATAATAAAACAGAGTGAAAACAAAAGAGTTGCACTGACTGAAAAGTGTATGTATTTTTTCAGACTAAGAATTAATGTGGGACTGAGAAGTCCAGGTTACGATTCAGACTAACTGATTACCAGATGAATTGCTTCCTGTGTCTCCTTACTAAAATCCACGATTCTCAAAATCTTGCATGACTGTGACTTAGTTTTTTTTTTGTTTTATTTTTTGTCATTGTTTTTGTGCTGTTGCATCATTTTATTTCTGACTAACTAAAGGAGACTGTTATGTCTCAGTATATTTTGGGTGCTTCTTTTATTCATTTCTGTCAAATGAGGCCTGAAACCCTCTTGGTTCACCATATATTTTATAACTCAATAATATACAAACTTTGCTGACTTTTTTATTTGTTACACAGTATTTTTGTGAATTATTACATCATATTGATGCTGTTCTCTTCTTCCTTGATCTGAAAAATCATAACAAGAACGTCATTCAACTTGCACTGTAGAAAGACGAAAAACTCTAACTTCATAGCAAGTCTGTCTTTTGAAATATATATTTTTTTCTGCATTCCAGACGCTAAGAGATCCCAAAAATAATAATATTTCTCAGTCTGCCAGTAATAAAATCTTGATTAAACTGCTCTGTATAATATAAGGCAGTGTATATTTTGATGAAGTGATTTGATTTATCACCAATTTTTGTGCATTAGCAATAAGAACTTTTTATGTCCTGAGTTTGTCWATCAAACTGTGTCCTATCTGTGAAACAAATCATTGTTTGCAGTGCAATATTGCTGCTGCTTACATTCTGGTTCACATGCATACACTTAAGCATCACCCTCTTGACTAAAATGTTCATTCACCAAGCAGCAGAAAGAAGACAACAGCTTTCTCTTTTTGACTGATTCTGATCTGTCCTGTAAATGTGTCACTAGTTGTGCCTTTTTGTAAAATGCATGATTTCTTTCCTTGCAAAGTTTGTTTTTCCTGCAACAAAAGACCAAAAACATGTACACATACAAAACTCTATGTAGAAATTAGATACCCAAAGGAGCATAGCTCTGTGTTGTCAAACTGTAATCACAGGAAATAAAAACATTTTGAAGTAGCCAAGCCGYGTGTGGCGTTTTTATAGAGGATGCAGTTCCGCTTATGGTCAATAGATGGTGGCGTTGCACAACCAAAATTTGCAACAAAGTCAAAGCAGATATTGGATGAAAAAGAAAAAAAAATGTGTACAGTAGGTTTTCTGGACGGGTTCTTCTCTAATGAAACGTTTCGTCTCTCCTCCAAGAGACTTCTTCAGTCTGAGAGTTTCAGGCAAAATTCAGGCTTTTAAGCACTGCTTCCATGTGACTGATACTCACATCACATGGCTATCGTTGACACCTAATTAACACCTATTGTTAACAGGGGGTGGAGTGATACTGGCTATAGCAGCGCTGTAGGAGGGGGACAACTGAAAACGGAGGCCTCCACCTCTGTTTAATGATAGACGGTCTTTCTTCACAAAAATGGCTTCTTTTACTCCTCTCCCAAACCAACGTTCCTCTCTATCAAGAATGAGAACATCCTCATCTCTGAAAGAGTGACCGCTGGCCACTAAATGAGTTAAAACTGCAGAGTTCTGGCCATTAGATGTAGCTCGTCTGTGTTGGGACATTCTTTTGAACAGTGGCTGCTTTGTTTCCCCGATGTATAACTGGTCGCAGTCCTCCTGGCATTTAACAGCATATACAACATTGCTCTGTTTGTGCCGGGGCACCGGATCTTTGGGGTGAACCAGCCTTTGCCGTAATGTGTTTTGGGGTTTGAAAGCCACTGGGACATCATGTTTAGAAAATAAACGTCTCAGTTTCTCCGAAACACCCGCAACATACGGAATAACCACTGGATTGGGTCTGGGTTTGGGGTCTTCATTTTCACCTGAAGGTTGCATGGAATCCTGTCTGTGTTTCCTGTCTGCTTTCAGGAAAGCCCAGTCAGGATAACCACACTGCTCCAGGGCCTGTCGTGTGTGTGATTTCTCTTTCTCCCTGGCTCCTGGGTTTGTAGGGACACTGTCTGCTCTGTGGTACAGAGTCCTGATCACTCCTAACTTGTGTTCCAGTAGGTGGTGGGAGTCAAAACGCAAATAATGGTCTGTGTGGGTGGGCTTACGATATACGCCAGTTTCCAACCGTCCTTCATCCGAAACCGAGACATCGCAATCCAGGAACGCCAACCTGCCATTTTTTTTTAATCCTCTCATGTGAACTTAATATATTCATCCACAGAGTTGATGTGATCAGTGGATGACAGTTAAGACACTTCAATGACTTTACGAAAATGCATTGATGTGCAATAATATCATCTTGTCTGACATCATGCATGGTCATACTTTACATCAACACATCATGCGACTTCCTTTGCTGTGTTTTAAACACTAGAAACACCTCACATCTGTTGTCTTTGAATAAACTTTGAAGTTTCACATAACTTTTTTAAAATATGTTGTTATAGTCCATTGTTTATTATTTTCAGTACATAACCAGTACAGAAAAAAATAAAGAACAACACGTTGACTTAATTTATTTTGTGAATGTACAAAAAAATGTACACTTCCAACTTCTTAGGTGTAGAAAACAACTAAATTACACACTCTAAAATGTGACTTCACATCACTAAAAGGTTTATACAAATCATAGTAAAAGTCTCATCTGTAATTACTCTTTTTCACATTTACAGTCACTAGAACAAATCAAGACGTAGTTGGGAACTACTGCTATCACAGAGTTTAGTTTAAATAAGACAGATATGGCTCTTTATTTGTCCTCTCATCCCTTTGCTACCTGTTTTACTTAGAGAGTTTAGTGATGACACGGATTAAAGCTCCATTTTCATCCTTTAGTCTCTGGTTCTCCTGCTTCAGCTCTGCTTTAACCTGAGGAGGAAGCAGAAAAATAAGTAAATAAAACTGACCATAAAAACCATTATTGTTTCATTTAGGTTAATTCTAAAAACTGCAAGTGGGGAGCAATGACCACAAGAGTAAAAGCAAAACATCTTTACAGGAAATAAGTGAATGAACTTTCCCATTTTTTAATTTTCTTTTCTGAATCCCTCAAGTGCCAAATTTGCATTTAAAGAGACAGCCTCAAAATGAGTTGATCTGAGACACGCCTCAGGAAAGGGGTAAAGAGGGGATTGTGGAGTTACAATAAAAAGGAATTCAGACCAAAGCATTGCAGTTCCACTTTATATAGACTCCAACTGAATAATTTAAGTGCAAAAAGGAAATGTTAAAAAGCCTGATATATCTCATTTAAGACTTAAAGCACAAGAGAGTTTTCTTGTCTCAAATTATTGAAAAGCAAGGAGATTCAAACCTAAATTACATAAAATAGCATATTTTCAGAGTCTCTTCTAACATTTCGACCACCATATATGAAGTTTCATTTATTTATTGTTGCTATTTTATAACGAAAAAACAAACTTGTTTCATAAAAAAGCAGAATTCTCTGATCTGAATAAATTTGTGTGTTTTATTCTAAAAAACACAATCACACGCTGTTTCTCTGCTGCAGTAAAGAACCGTTTTCACACCAGCAGCTCGTGTTTCTTCAGACCTTTGGCTGACAGAAAGCACAAGGTTTTTGTTTGTGTTCTCCTGAACAAAGCAGACAGCTGGGAGCTAACGCTGAGTCCTTATTGCTGGGTGTAGCTGGTGTCAGACTGTTCACACATCCCACAGACAAAACAGCATAATGGTGACAAATGATGTCAGTTAAATCCACTGCAGACAAACAGCTCAGAACGCAGCACTGAGTTTCACAAACACTTCACGCAGTTTAAAGTGACAAACACGTCCAAAAAGTGCAGAGAGATTCAGCAAAACTAAAATCTTAAAAAAGGGGCAAGGAAGTGATTAAAAATTACCTTCAGCTGCTCTTCCATTTCTGTGATTTTCTTTTTAAGGCTCCAACTTTCCTGCAAAGAGTATTTAATAAATATAATTATGGTAATTTGATTAAAATGCGTAAAAAAATAGCTTCATGAATCCAAACCTTTTTTTCTGATTCAAGCATGTTGGAGCCACAATCATCTGTTTTATCGTTCTGACACAAAGAAAGATTATTATTAGGAAGAGAAAAAAAGACTTTGGTTGTTGGTGTTATTTAATGATGCATGGTGTTTATGAATATTTAAATCTAAACTTGCAGAATAAAGTACCTGTGCTTTGTGCAGCTGGTCCTGAATTACAGCGAGCTCCTGTTTACTTGTTTCCAGTCGAGACTTGAGTCTTTGATTAGTGGCTAGTGCCTTTTCATACATCTGTAAAATATGGATATTTCACAAAGTTTTTTTACAAATGCTTTTAACAGAATAAAGGTTTTCCAAAATATATGGTTAAAAAACATATTTTGTGATTGTTTTATTTCTCACTGTCTTAAAATTTGTTTTTTTTTTACCTTTGTAAGGTTTACATCTCTACCAAAATAATTAAGTAAGCAGTAAGTGAAGTTTATTTATATAGCAACTTTCATAGATATAAAATCACAAAGTGCTTCAAAATAAAAGCAAGAAAAAAAATTCAAACCATCACAAAAGCATTAAATTCATACAAAAGTACAAGTAAAGAAAATAATAAAAATAAGCTAAAAGAAAAAAATAATAATTAATAATAGTAAGCTAAAATAAAGTTTTAATATGTTTTTTTAAGCATCAATAGAATCAAGGCTACATATACAGTACATTGGGGCAGTGCAATCCAGAGTCAGGGTGTCACTGCCTGGAAAGACCGATCCCCTCGGGTTTTAAAATGTGTGCAGGGTACCACCAACAACCTCTGACCTGATGACCTCAAACTGCGAGGTGGTGTGTGAAGATGGATCAAATCCAAAATATAAGAGGGAGCTCATTCATAGAAAGCTCTAAAAGTTAAAACCATATTTTCAAAAGAATTCTAAAAGGAACTGGGAGCCAGTAAAGAGAAGCTAAAACAGGTTTGATGTGAGATTGTTTGTTCATGTTGGTTAACAGTCTTGCAGCTGAGTTCTGGACAACCTGAAGACGGTCCAGCTCATGTGAACAGGCTGTCACAGTAATCCAAACGAGAAGAAATCAGTGCACAAAGCACCATTTCAACCTCAGCTTTCGACCAGAAAAATAATGCATAATAGAAAATGAACCATGTCAGCTTTCAGATGATCACCTGCCTTTTTATAATCGTTGTTCATCTTTTCCTCCTCTGCCTTTTTCTTAGCAGACAGTCTGTTCTCCCGCCGCAGGAAGTAGGACTCTGCGTGGTTTGTTGACGTGTCGTTAGAGACATCAGACGCCGCCGATGAACCCAGTCTGAAAACAGAGGAAAGCTTGACACATTTTTTTATAAGAGCAAAATTTTAGCCATTTATTGCATTTTATTTTTCTCTCTGTCACAATAAAGCCATTCTAGTTTAGGTTAAAGAACAGAGAACTTACCTGGACAGTTTTTCATGCTGAAAAAAGGGAGAAATGTTTTAGAGATTTGTGTCATTCATTTAAAAAGTTAAATATTTCAAAACCATTTTCAGCTGCAATTATTTTAACTCAAACCTTTGAAACAAAACAAAATTTTCTTTAGCACTGCACTGCAATGCAGACAAAAGTTTTTTTGCTGTAACATTTTCAGATTAGCACATTTTTATTGTCAATTTTGCAAACTACAACTCTTTTTAAAATCAGTTTTATATAATTTAACTTTTCTAATCCAAAGTTAATGAAGAAGCAAAGTCAGCCAAAGTAGGAGAGAGGAAATGATCCCCTACATAAACCGACAAGCACAGATAACTAAACACATCCAAAAATGGTAACAACTCCACCGACGAACGTCTCAGTTTGTGCACTGTTGCCTGCTGAAGTTAGGGCTGTGTGGGATGTGTCCCAGGAGAATTTAAAACTACAAAGAGAAGTTATATCTAGACCTTAAAGTTACAGATTAAACATATTGGAAAGTACTTTTCTCAGTTACATGTAGTCTGTTTCACCCAGACAGACAAAACATAATCAAAGGTCCTGTGTGTGTAATTTAAAGTAGCAGAATGCTAAAAGCTAAATTCTTATGAATGAAGTAAATAACCTATCTAATTAAATAAAAGACTAGCATTCCTGGAAAGAGTATTTTTCCTGTTGTCTTTCTGGTCATAACGTCATGTTCAATGTTGTATGATAACATGACATAAAACAGAGTATAGCGGTTAAAATAAGTATTGAACACGTCACCATTTTTCTCAGTAAATATATTACTAGAGGTGCTAATGACATGAATTTTTCACCAGATGTTGGTAACAACCCAAGTGATCCATACATACAAAGAAATCAAAATAAATGTCCAGAAATGAAGTTATTTGTAATAATGTGGAATGGCACAGGGAAAAAGTATTGAACACATGAAGAAAGGGAGGTGTAAAAAGACATGGAAAGCCAAGACACCAGCTGAACTCTCTCAGTAATTAGAAAGCAAGCCTGCCCCTTGTCAGTGCAAGTTAATATCAGCTGGTTCAGTCCCAAACGATGGCCAGGTATCACACAAGAACCATCTGATGATGGGTAAAAGTAAAGAGCTCTCTCAAGACCTTCACAACCTTATTGTTGCAAAGCGTAATGATGGCATCGGTTACAGAAGAATGTCTAAACTTCTGAAGGTTCCAGTGAGCACTGTTGGGGCCATAATTCAGAAGTAGAAAGAACATCATTTCACCATAAACTGACCACGACCAGGTGCTCCTCACAAGATTTCTGACAGAGGAGTGAAAAGAATTATCAGAAGAGTTGTCCAAGAGCCAAGGACCACTTGTGGAGAGCTTCAGAAAGACCTGGAATTAGCAGGTACGATTGTTTCAAAGAAAACAATAAGTAATGCACTGAACCACCATGGCCTGTATGCACGCTCACCATGCAAGACTCCACTGCTGAAGAAACAGCATGTTGAAGCTCCTTTAAAGTTTGCTGCACAACATTTAGACAAGCCTGTGTAATACTGGGAGAATATAGTCTGGTCAGATGAGACCAACATTGAACTGTTTGGATGCCAGAATACACATCATGTTTGGAGGTCAAATGGCACTGCACATCAGGCCAAAAACACCATACCAACAGTGAAGTTTGGAGGTGGGAACATCATGGTGTGGGGCTGTTTTTCAGCATATGGTACTGGCAAACTTCAAATAATTGAAGGAAGGATGAATGGAAAAATGTACAGAGACATTCTTGATAAAAATCTGCTTCCATCTACCAGGATGATGAAGATGAAACGTGGCTGGACATTTCAGCAAGACAATGAGCCCAAACACAAAGCCAAGGAAACTCTCAGTTGGTTTCAGAGAAAGAAACTAAAGCTGCTGGAATGGCCCAGCCAATCACCTGACCTGAATCCAACAGAAAATCTATGGAAAGAACTAAAGATCAGAGTTCATAGAAGAGGTCCATGAAACCTTCAAGATTTGAAGACTGTTTGTGTGGAAGAATGGGCCAAAATCACACCTGAGCAATGCATGCCACTAGTTTCTCCAAACAGGAGGCGTCTTGAAGCTGTCATTGACAACAAAGGCTTTTGTACAAAGTATTAGATAAATTTCAGTAAGTGTGTTCAATACTTTTTCCCTGTGTCATTCCACATTATCACAAATAACTTCATTTCTGGACATTTATGGTTGGATTTCTTTATATGTATGGATCACTTGGGTTGTTACTGACATCTGGTGAAAATTTCATGTCATTAGCACCTCTAGTAATATATTTACTGAGAAAAATGTTGACGTGTTCAATACTTATTTTACCCGCTGTATATGTTGTGAATGACAGTTATTTATACATTAAATTTTAGCACAGCATCGGTCGAACTGGCTGAGTTTTAACCATGTGTACTCACTTTTAGCTTCATAAAAACATTAATAAATGAGTTTCCTAAGTGACGCTGAGAGAGAATCTCTTTTAAAATGGACGCAGGGTTGTTGTTGACGGGATAGCTTTAACCGATAGCTTACCTTTTTTTTTTTTTGTTTACCGGATTATTTCGGAGGTGTGGCAGCCACTCAGATGTTAGGCTGGCACAAAAAAAGTTATAGAGGTTCACTCAGTGATTATCTACTATAAGTTTCATTCAAATCTGTTTAACTATTTTTTAAAGTGTGTATGATATAAGATGCTGAACATAACAGAAGCATTAATATAAATGTTTATAATGTTCTGTTCAACTTTTTACTCAATCAAACAAAAGAACTGACACATAAAATGAAATGGGTTTTGTCATTTTCACGGTGGATTCATTATTAGTTTCATTAAATTAATATACTGTATTTATTCATGTAAATACTAGAAATTTAAGCCTAAAAATCATCCACAACATGGGGGAGTAGTATAATACACGGGTTATTGATAAATAGATTTTTAATTCTTTTTAGCTCAAAAAATGATGATCGTATTATACATGAATAAATATGGTATCTTCTGTGTTTATAGCAGTTAGAACATGAAAATCAGCCTGAACTGTAAAACACTGAAGTGAAGGTGCTCATGCTGCAAACTGTTCATGTTTCTTTCTGCATTTTTATGTTTGAATATAAAAGATTCAAAGTCAAATACAATAAAATATTTATTTGATAACTATATGACATAAACCTGCAACATTGTATTAAATACCGTTGTTGGGATTATCTGAATATACTTTAAAAATGCACATTTATTCTTCCTGATGTAAGTTAACAGTGTAAACAGTTTTAGTCGTTTTTGTGTTTTAATCTTTCTGACACAAGACCCCCCCCCACCCCCCTTTTCAACAAACCACTGTATAAACCCAAACATAAAAGCAGACTTGTGACCAGAGTTTCAAAAGATTAATGTCAAACTGCACGAGCTGAGGGCTGTAAGTGGATTCCTGCTGAAAGGAGACACAGACACTAAGTGTAAACACTGATGTGCCTGAGTTTGGACATGACTTCTGGATCTTCACCAGACCTGATGTCATCTCCTTCAAAAGAGCTCTCTGGGCAGTTGCTTGGTTATTAATTATGGCCTAAACGTTTTTGAAGAAAAAAAAATTCTGGTTTAGATTAGGTGACATCCCATGTAAACAGAAACTGATGGAAAAAATGTGTGACTTTGCCCCCCCCACCCGCCCCCACCCCCCACAGTGAGTCTTCATCTCTGAGCTGTGCTGCAGTCCTTCTACATCCCATGATGGAGTGTTTTTTGGCCCGCTGACCAGCAATTCCCGAGTGGAAAATATGAGTTTCCCGTAGGACCAGCAGAGAGATAAACATCCATAAATATCGTTCGTTCCCACAATCACAGTCTCTGAACTCTCTGTCCCTCTTTCTTCTCTGTTCCTCGTCATCCTGTCTTCCTCCTCCTCCACCCCCCCCCCCTCTCTCTCTCTATATCTCATGCTGACGTTTTCGGCATCGCTCCATCTTTCTTCCCAAGTGAATTCTTGTTTTACATAAACACATTAGATGAAACCTGCTTATTATGTCTCCTTAGAGTCATTTTCAAGCCGTCTTAAACAGCACGGTAGAAGTCTACTACACTCTGCATGTCAGTCACTGTGGGCTTTTAAAGGCTAAAAAAAAACTTTTTGAATATTAAGATCTTTTAAATCCATGTCAGAGGCTATGTGTTGTTTTCTTTTAGCAGTTTGTATTGTTGTTTAGATATGTTTTTACTCATTTTGTACTATTTATGGGAGATGGTGTAAATCAAACTGAGACTATTTTATTCTATTTGGATGCAACACTCCAAAGTATTTCCTCTAACTAAGCAGACACATAAAAAGATGAATGATCCTCAGGCCTTACCCTCAGGCTCTTGGTGTTGGCAGCAGATGAAGCTGGGCAGGAGTCAGAGAGCGTTTTTCTGACATACGGAGGCTCTTTGTTGTGAGGAAGCTGAGATGACATCGCTCTTGAACTGTAGAAACCACTGCATGCAGCTGAACGCCGGTCCAAAATACACCCAAAAACTTCTTCCCCCCCCCACCTTTTTTTGTAGCAGCTCCTCTTAAAAGCAAAACCAGCTGCAGAGGGGTCAGCGTCAGGTTCTGTTGTCTCAGTGTGACTTATGTGTGCTCTTCATGTGATGGAAGAACACAGAACATCGSATCGAGGGTAAAAGAAACGCCACAATTGTGAGGATGGGAAGGAAGTGGGAGTGGGTGGGCTGTGCAGTGTGTGTGTGTATGTGTGTGTAAACAAGGGTTAGAAGGCAGMATTTTACACAGCATCTTTAAGTTATGAGAATAATTACTTGTCAGGTTCACAAAAAACACCTGATTATGAAATCTGTCCCAATTTTCTGTGTTTAGAATTTAAAWTGGTCAATTTTACTTAAATAACTTGATGAATATGTTTAATTTCAGCGTCATTATTTATTTATGTTGGTATCAGGAATTTTCTTTATTGATTTCCATCCAATGAAAATGATTAAACTTGACTTCTTAAAAAAGTATTTTATTTAAACTTTGACAGCTAAAGGTTTTACATGATGCAACTATTTATACAAGGACCAATAGTGTATTTTAATATCCAAAGCAATTATTATTAAAGAAAAGCTTGCTCTTCTTTTTTTAGTCTCAGTTAAACCGAGTCTAAAAAAAGAACATTAACATAACCTTTCCATGATAAATGCAAAAGCTGTTTTTGCATTTATCATGGTAAAGTTATAATAACCAAAGAAACAAGCATCACTGTTTGCTAACTTTTTTTACAGTTTAAAAATTAATAAAAATACATAAAAATTGCTTGTGGGTCTCCCCCCCCCCCACAATTGACTTTTTCTAACTCATTCTGTCAAGCACCACCTGCTGGTGGAAAAATGTATTTTTTACAGTTGAATTTTAAGGACTGTGTCTTGTCTTGTTATTTTGATTGCATGCTGTAATAGTTTCACGCACACAAAAAAGCTTTTAAAAATAATKATATGAATGTATAATTTTAAAATGGCAAGCCTATGTAATATTGCAGATTACTTGCAGCACTATTGTTGCATCAACTTTTTTATTTATATATGTATAAATTCCACTGTCTTAAGAAATACGAGCAGATTTTAATCTAAACATTTGCTTACATTATTTTTTTCATCAAATAAGTTTCTATAAGCTTTGATTTGATTTATGTCATGTATGAATGATGCTTCTTTTTGCAGAATCTTTTTAAACCTAATTTATTATTTACATTTTTGTTGTTATTTTGATTTTTACTCATAGATTTTTTTGTTTGTTTGTTTCATAACAAACAACAAATATAGGCTACTTAAAAAAAATCACCAGGCGAAGTCTCAGTGTGAAGGCAGCTTTTAAAAGAGGAAATACAACTTCAATCTTTCAAAATAAACTTTATTGTTCGACATGTTTTTCAAAGACATAATTTTCTCCAAAAAATAACGTTGTATTTACCTAAACATATGTTTACGCAATAATTTATTTATTAGGTTCTTGTTATTATATTTATGTWCTTAGCTCCAAATTAAATCTCGCGCTTTTATTTATAAAGGCATGTCGCAAAACGTGAACGTAACCTAACAAGACGTAATTGTTATTTTCTTAACTTGACTTCATGAAGCGCGTTTTTTTCCTTATGGATGGTGAAACAGGTGTGACTCAATTAAGTTTGCAAACTTCTTAA